AGTTGTGCCCCGAAGGCGACTTTCTGCCTCACACAGTTCACAGCAGAGTGACGGACATCTTTGTGCCAAGTTAACAAAAGAAGGACCTGCAACAAAAGAAAGACCTTGAGGCAGCGTTTCTCCAGCTCTTTACAGCAGTTAAAGATGGATGGTGGAGTGACAGCACTTTTCTTTTTCCACTGCAGCTTTATCTCCCCCTGCACACTTTCCTCTGCATATCAGAAGTGCCCCAAACATCCAAAGATATCAAGAGAAGTAAAGTCAACGATTTTTTTTTTTTTATAAAAAAGAGAGAATCGTCAAAAAATTTAAACAGTTTTCTTGATTGCATGTGTGAAACAATGCTGTACTGTATCCACAGCGTACAGGAACTGCGAGTGGGCGTTAAGAAGACAAAAGTTGGCAATGACTTTTCCTCTGATGTTGGTGGATGAAAACACAGAGGATTATTCCACTTCAGCATGAAGCGCATTGTGCGTTTTCTCTGAGCAAGAAAGGAGAAGAATGAAAAGGATTGAGGGCGTGCAAAAAAGCTGCCCATTACAGCACAAGTCTGCAGTTTTTAATCTGACATACTCCACTTAATCTTCCATACTGAGCTGCACTCTTTGTGATTTAAATTAAAAACAGGCTTGTAGAAAGGAAACAATCAGTTTGAAGCCCTGGACCAGAAGGAAAAGATAGCAGTGAGTGGATAAATGGAAACCTGAATAAAGATAAAGCATCACAAAGATGACCTGTTATTCTAAAAGGGCGGCTTTTTTCCCAGTCGTCCAAAATTCCCAAATTAAAGTCCAGTTCACCTTCTCGTCTTACCTAACAGACATGGCTAGGACGGTCACTGGACGCTATGAGTATGTCTGTATGTAGTTTCATATTTTCTTTATCTAGTTCCAAAACCACTCATCAATTCTCTTCAAACTATCTGTGTGTGCGGCTGGGAGCCCGAGTAAGTGGAGTGCCGAGTTTGAAGTCATTTGAATGAGTGATTTTCATATTTTGGATAAAATTTGTTCTCCACTCTGTGTGTAGGGGGAGGGGCGCATACACACAGGATACATGAACCTTTTCCTTTCACTCTGAACCCTGAATTTGTTTCAGTAGCCTTAGTACTGGTACTATTACAATGCCCATATACTATATACACACAATACTTATACTCCAGTATTTCTTTGCACTTTTACCTTACTTTTGGATGGAAATATCAGACTTTATTTATTTATTTATTTATTGTAAAGGTTTAGTTCATCTTCATGTTTCAGCATTAAAGAAATATACATTCTTATGAACTTAAGTTACGTTAAGTTCTTTAAGTACATTTTGAAACTAAACATTATGGTAGTATTATAACTTTTACTTACACTCTTTGACTCATATCATAAAATATTTTTTTTTGTGTTTCTGAAACTAATCATGTACCTAATCCTTTAGGCTACAGTCTTGTGCTGATTAATAATATTTGCAACTATTTTTTGTAAAAGATCTCAATAGTAGTTCACAATTTGCAACTCCAATTCATGTTTAGCTCTGCATGTACATTTTTTTCAGGACACTCTCCAAAGCTGAAAGTTTGCGTGACCCGGCCGAGAGAAAGAACAGCTGGATGGCAGCCTGAGGTTTCAGTGGATTTGATGTGGCAGACATGAAGAACCAGCACCAGTATGGACGAAGTCATCTGGAGAGACTGGGTGAGTCCACTTCATATACTATACAAAACCTATATCTTCACCTAAATATAATGTATAGTTTACCTACCAGAAAGCTAAAATTAAGTGTGCCGACAAACCTGAGAGACTCCAGCACTGGTGACTGAGACGTCAACATGAATCACTGCAGGAATTAATCTGATGCCTTCATTTAGGCTCCTGTTCTTATGAAGAGATGTGGAGCACACTGTTCTCTACATCGCTCTCTTTCTGAGCTTCAGTGATCAACTGATCTGCTTATAACAGAGGAAAATCTACTATGATTCATTAAAAAGCTAATTTAGGTGAACTGAGGTTTGCAAGTTTACAACATCAAACTGAATATAGCTTCACAGAGTTAATGCATGAGGTTTAAATGTTTCTAAAATATGTACTGATAGTTTTGGCTGTGTAAAAGACGCTGTTATTCTGTTCATTTCTCGTGTCTTCCAGTCTGCGTGGCTCTGTCCACTCTGGTGTTGGTTCTGCTGGGACTTCTGGGTTCCGTCACAGGCTGTCCTGGTGTCTGCACCTGCTATGGCAATACGACTGACTGCACTGCTGTTGGACTCCTCTCTCTGACGCCTATCCTTGGGCTGCTCGCCCAGGACTCTCTGGCACTCCACCTACCCCAGAACAATCTCACCTTCCTGGGCAAAGCTGAGCTGTCCAACCTCAGCAGCCTGGAGGTACTGGATCTTTCCCAGAACCACTTTTCAACCGTGCAGCCAGGAGCTTTCCTAGGCCTGAACAGCCTGCGCCGCTTAAACCTGTCCACCAACTACCTCAGTAAACTCAATAGCAGCACAGTGACAGTCGAGGCCTTCAATGGAAGTCAGGGGAGTATTGGATTGAGCAAGGAGGTTTTCAAGGGGCTATGGCAGCTGCAGGAACTCGATCTGTCCTCCAACGGCCTCCTGTGGCTGCCCAAGGGCCTGCTGGATGGGCTTCAGAGACTCACCTGGCTGTCTCTGGCCAGCAACCGGCTTGTCACCCTGGACAGAGTCACATTTGAACCCCTGGTGGGGCTACAGCACCTCCTGCTGGTAGGAAACCCTTGGAAATGCGATTGCAAGCTGAGAGACTTCAAGCACTGGATGGAGTGGTTGATTTACAGGGGTGAGCAGGGCTGTTAGCAGGCCTCTCCATATCTCAAATACTTTAAGACTTTACCGGAGCGAGTCTGGGGTGTATAATCTAAGCAATTAATCTCCGCTCTGCAGGATGGATGTATGCTGAGCAAAGACATCTAAGAGTACAATGACCTCTATATCTTTCAATCCTTCCCTGTCTCTCCTGGTTCCCTTCTTTCTCCCTTCCTCCTTCTTTCCCCTTGTTTTTGTGTCCCCTCTCCATCTGTTTTATAGATGGGCAGGTAGATGTGATGCAGTGCAGCCTCCCGGAGGATTTGAAGGGCAGGGACATCCGCAGCGTGCCAGCAGAGATGTTCAGCTACTGCCTCCAGACTTCAACCAAGGAAGGCGCCACCCGGCCTCCTTGCCCGCCCGGCCGGGTCGGAGGTGCCGATGATTGCATCCGTCAGCGCTACAGACCCGCGAGCGTCCGCCGGGCACAGGGCACGCAGGTAGTTGCGGCCGTTGTGTGCGGCACAGTGTGCGTCATGATGGTGGTGGCAGCGACTTACGGGTGCGTCTACGCCTCGCTGGTAGCCCGCTACCAGAAAGAGATGAAGAGCCGCGGGCAGCCCCTGATGGCTGAGTCTGGAGCTGACACCGACCTGGAAGACGGGCAGACGTCATCCCCGACCTCACTGGAGGAAACGCCGCCCAAAGAGGCCTGCGGCTTCGTGCACAGTTATCGAATCAGCAGTTTCTAACACACTGATTTCTGCCTCTGTACTTCAGCTCTCATCACTGATGAGACGAGGTCTGCAGAGAGAAACCCTGCAGCTCACTGGGCGAAACTCTCCGGGTGGGGACTGATTGTGCAGCTTAATGGAGCGGACTAAATCCAGTGAAGCTGTGATTCTGCAGCACTTCTTTTAATGTATGGATGCTCTGTGAATTGTTATTCCCTGCGCTGCATCCCTCAGCCAGCTTTGAAACTTCTCTCAAGCTGCTGTTTGGCACTTCTGCACCTTGACTTTCCCTTCATGTGTGTTTCTTCTTTAGAAATATGAATCTACATTTAGTTCCCGTCTTTGGATCTAAGCCCAAGAAGCACAAAGTCAAAAAGTACAAACGTCTGTGAATGTGTGACATTTCTCTTGATGTGAGCTGCAAAAAATTACTTTTCTCTTAATCAGCTGTGCGTGTTTTACATTCCCCATTCTGCAGAGTAATTCTTTGTACCTGTGTTAGGTGGATGCCCCCGTTGAATCTCCTCAGAACAACAAACACTTTGAACCACATCAGAGTTCTGCTGCTGTCAGGTAAATGCTGCTTTAAGCTTCATCACAGGTTAACTGCATTCAAACAATACTAGAGCTGTACTGCCGCCTAGAGGGCAAGCTTAGAGCTGCAACAGCTTCTAATCCAGCACAACGAAACAGCGATGACTATTATCTCCAACATTGTGAAGTAAAGAAAGAGCGTGAGGAGATCAGCTCACATGTGATAAGCACATGAAATAAATTGAAGTGTAATTGAACTCAAGGACTGTTAATCATGCTGAAGGTAATAAACTCTTTATTTATCTAAACTGGGTATTTTTTCTTTTTAAAGAAGTGTTTTTGGTCCATTTCACAACCTCTAAATTGCTGTTCTTAAATGTGAGTGAGAGGACTACTTCCTTACAGAGTTCTGAGAGTCGTGATCTCCTTTGCTTTCGACCGGGGAGGAGAAGTTACCTTGAACTTCATTTCCACTGCATGTTACAGTTTAATTAGACGATAGCCGCTGCTGTTGCAGGCAGCGTCACCACATGCTTCATGTCACGTGGTGTAAAAATCCCACACAAAGCGATTTGAGTGAGGATTCTTGCTGACCACTGTATGACCTTCAATGTCTTCATCATTATCTTTTGCTCAAGAAGAACAACTGAAAATGGTCAGCATATGGCCACTGCTGTTCCTCAAAGTGTCACTCGCAGCTGGCTTCTAAAGTGACTCCGCCCACATAGACTCCCATGTTAAAATGTCTTATTTTCCAACAGAAATAAACATGTTTGGTCTCCACAGCTAACTCCAGCTCCCTGTTAGACGCTGATCTGCTTTGGCTGTCACGGATTAATAAAGGAAACAGTAAGCAACTAAAGCAAGAGGAAAACGCGATGATGACAGTGCATGCTGTGTTTTTGTGATGAAGATGAAGAAGGTGAACATCATAGCTCTTCCACCACTTGTTTGAAACTCACCTCCAGCCATGGCCGTCTTTCCCTCGGTTGACACGGTCACCGATGTCGTCGCTATGATGTACTTCACTCCTGAGGGGCAAAACATTTCGCCCAACATTAACTACAGATCACCTTATCAGTTATTCAATGATAACGAGTTACTTTTTGTTCTGCAGACGTGTTCAGGGGTTCGTCACAAACAAACCTTTGTCATTCACTGGGTAGTAGTAGAATTTTCCAGGAGTGTTTTCTACAGCCAGGCGGTACCACAGCGGGAAGTGATCGATGGTGAACAGATTATCTTTATCAGCTGGAGTCAGGAACTTCCTGCAAAGTGAGCAATCATCCTCAGATAACATTTTACTTTGAAATTCACTCCTAGGCTCATTGACTGAACTGGTCAGTGTGCAACTGGAAGCTCTAATTTTACTATTTATTTCTAATCATCTACTGTTTCAAACACAAACCTGTGCTTCGTGCTACTGATGAACATTTTTTTACTTCACTCACTTCAAAGAACTCACAAAGGTTACACACTCTGATAGTCCACAGCAGGAAGCAGATATAACAACAATTCTTAAACCAGCTGGAGTGTATCAGCTGGGATCGTGCTCTGAAGTGTGACATTATTATTTTTAAAGAAAGAAGGAGGGAGGGAGAAGATATGGTTCCAGCAGTTAGTGTTATAACACAATTTTCTTTATGCTAATAGTACAGATGAATTGTCTAGCTAATAATGAGCACAAACAGTGTTGAAAAGCTGCAGCTAGGAGAGCAACACAAAAGGTGCTGTTCTGAAAGCAGAAAGTATTTCACCACATAAACCTGAACTCTTTGCAGAAGCACGTAAGATATATTTGCTGTCAGGTCCAGACCACCTGTTGGAGTTACACCGTAACTGTGTCACGTGAGTAAATGTGCACATTGCCAGTCATTTTTTTATCATGTAAAAGGTAAATGGACTGATTTTTATATTGGATTTTTCTTCTCTATATGAGCACTCAAAGATTTACACAACTTGCCTCATTCATCCATTGCACAAGCACTAGAGCAGACAGGAATCGAACCACCAACCTTATGACCTGCTAGGACCTGTTAGGTTTTAATCAGGTGACTGAATGCTCCCTTAGTTACACTACAACAGGTCTGGGCTTCTAGATTTTTCTTCTTCAGTCCCCTTTTCCACTTACACCTCTCTGTATTTAATCATTAGTTGTTATTAATCTCTGTCTCTCTTCCACAGCATGTCTTTTGTCCCGTCTTTCTCCCCTCACCCGGTCACAGCAGATGGCCCCGCCCCTCCCTGAGCCTGGTTTTGCTGCAGGTTTCTTCCTGTTAAAAGGGAGTTTTTCCTTCCCACTGTGGCCAAAGCACTTGTTCATAGGGGTCATATGACTGTTTGGGTTTTCTCTGCATTATTGTAGGGTCTCCCTTATCATATAAAGCACCTTGAGGAAACTGTTGTTGTGATTTGGTGCTGTGTAAATAAAATTGAATTGAATGGAATTTAATTATAATGGTTTGAGTTAAACAGATTCTACATCTTATATGCATTTGGTCTCAACCTAAACTACACAGTGAGATATTTCTGTCTTTTCAGCTTAATTTACTTACATTCACATAAAAAGTGACACTTATCTGCAGAGTCTGCATAAATGATTGGCATGTTGAACGCATAAAATCTGCCCATAACATGGGAATACCTACAGCCCCACATCTACACCTTTCGAAGTAACACCAAATGAAAAAATCTAAACAACACAAGTAATTTTTCAGTTAGCGCTCTTACTTAAATATTCTATGATTTTGTGAGGCATGTCAGATTTCTAATTTTGCCTCAGGATATCAGTGGATCTCATCTCATCTGCTGTTTTTATGTACCTGCCATTCACCACTCTGGTTTGTCCCCACAAATGAGAAAATCCTGTATAACCAAACATTTGCTTCAGCTTCACAATCCACTGTGATTCAAAAATATCTTTATCGAAAGGATCATTTATTCCTACTGCCATTCGATGATCTACACCAGAAGCCAATCATCCTACATCTCTCTTTATCAGCCCACTTCTCCATATACAGCAAATAAACAGCAGCATTTGTATTCAATTTAAGTAGCTCCCTTTAGAAATAAAGCATGAAAAGATTCAATACATGACATTTCTTCATGGCCTCACACCTCTAGTAAAACCACACGGTGAAACAGATAACAGATAATCCCAAATCTCTAGCTTCAGTTCACACACTATAAAGGTCTTTCCTGGCCTGGCCCACTTGTATCTCAAATCTGGTGGTAAATAATGTTTGGTGTTCTTCTACACATCACACAGGTCAGCTGTTCCACACAGATTTCAGGTTTATCCGGGAGAATAGTTTGTAGTAACGCAGCTCTCCTCTAGATAAATCCAGTGCTCCACCTGAGGGGCAGTCCTCAGGACCTCACACAGCAGTTTTTATTAAACGAGTTCATCCTCACAGAAAACCAAACTGATTCTTCTTCAGCTTCCTCTCATGTATCTGAACTGCTGCACTGTTTTCAGAGAGAAGCACGAGTCAAACCTACACTGGAATATTTTTGTTAGGATATCAATCACTCCCTCAACAATCTGAGTCCCTCACTGCATTGTGCTAATTATTGAAATGAACGACTGCATCTTCGTATATGAATGAGCATGCATCGGGCTTCCGTTTGTCGTGGGCTATCAGTTCCAAAACTGCCCCTGAGCCTTTTTGGTAAACCTAACAGCAGCTTTTTGACACCAGGAGAAGGTTTGATGACGTAGACGTTAATAATGTGGTCCACTCAGTTTATCTTTATTGACTTTCTTGCATGAAATACTCTTAATGTGGCAACTGAATTTTAATAGATTTAAATAATTAATAGCAAATATTGGAAATGTGGAGATGTTGGCTGTTTCTCAAAAGGCACCGATGCAGCACATCTGCAGAAAAGCAATATCACCTTGAAGATGTTATAATGCTTTGTTTTGTTTTTATTTATTTTACTTTTGTTTCTCCTGTTGGAGATAACTGTGATCATTACAGAGCTTGTAAAAAAGGCTCTGATTAACCTTACAGTTATTATCATTCGAGTTATTGCAGATAAAGTCGATCAATATATGTTCTAATAAACTGTGCACACGTACAGGTTAATGATAGCAGCTGTGCAGTGAGATGAGCTATACGACCAATTTAAAATGAGTGATGGCACAGGAGGTTAGATGCAGGTTTGAGTACAGCTATAAAGCATCCGAATGAGCCACAAGTGCGTGCTCAGGCCACTATAACACTGCAGATGCAAGATAAGTTTGAACTGTAATACAAACACAGCTGCTTAAAACAGGAAAATCGCTGGAATATCTGCACGAACAGAACCATGCAGACAGAAGGAAAGAGTCCACATAGTGGCCTAAGAGTAAAAGACACTGATAATGTGAGTGTTCAGGATATTAGTTTCATGTCTGCTGTCTGAGTTAGGATAAAAGTGCTCTAAAAACCTAAAAACGTCCCACTGTGGAAAAGGAGAGAAATATACAGTTATAACCTGCATGGGAACATCTGAAGCTGTGGACTGCAGCACTGCGGTAACATAATCAGTGTTTATGAAGATCAGGCCCTGCCTGAACACAGAGCTTGACTGATTGTCTAATCCTTTAATATTACGCAGAAGATTGCATCAGCTAAGAAAACACTTCCTGTATATTTAACTGCTGCAGGTTCTGGCTCCTCCTAACAGAGTTTGTGTGTGTGTGTGTGTGTGTGTGTGTGTGTGTGTGTGTGTGTGTGTGTGTGT